CACAAAGTTGGCACTCCAACAATGATATTCGGCCATTGCTGACCTTTGCCGTGGTTTAAATGCATCTTTGAATCGATCCTTGTTTCTGCGACACTGTCAGTCGAACCAGCAAGTGATAGCGAGGTCATGCGCATGCTGACAAATGAACAGTGTGCTTCATGGCTGCACATTGCAGATGCGGTCTTTCCCTCCAGCCGTCAAGGCTTCAAGCTGCAAGCGGCGCGCTTACAGCTCACGTCCTTCTTGATTCACTGTTGTAGTTACCACGTGCATCCGCGCGCTCTCTTGGAGTCCTCGTGCTCAAGCAGATGCGGCCGGCGAGGTTCAGACTGGGAAGCGAAAGAAGCTAGACATCATTCAAGAGGTATTCTGCCAAACGATGCGGTGGGTGCCAAAGAAAGCAGCAGGTTTCTGTCTTGCTCCGCCATCCTGAGTTCATGATACACGCCGACTTTCAATGGGGCCTGCCATGCCTTATGCGCAAGCTGAGAGTCTGCATGATGACAGTATCATCTGACGGCTGACACCAGATCGCAGACTGGATGGACGTCGGATCCAAGCCGTTGGCACCGAGCGAGATCAAGGCACACCTCAAAGGTTGGCACAACATGGTCTACGTTTAGCCCTCTTACAATGACCTTGTCACACAACAGCTTCAAATCACGTCAGCAACAAAACATTGATTCGAGTTGAACCTTGGCTTTTCGGATTCTGGCTGTCAGTCCTGGCTTTACTTGAAGATAGTATCCTTACGCGTAGCTTGTCACATGCTATCCAGCATTTTCCGAACTCATGGCCGCCCCACGACGAGCAATACTTTACCAACTACAGTATTAGATGGTGGACCCACAACCGCTGTGATGACGATCAGCTTCTCAGCACAGATCTCTGCGTACCACATTGTACCGCGACTTACCCCGCACCTGGAAATCGGTTCACGATCCCCCTCTTCCCCGATGCTACTTTTTTCACCCTTCATGCCGGCGCACCACCTCCGTCCACCATGAGTCAGCAAAGGCGTGCTTCCCATAATTGCTGCTGGGGAGCTGTAGTGGTGTCAGGCGCCCTTGACCAGTCCTCGTAGCAACCTCTTCTGCAGGACTGGAAGCATTAGTGCTCAAACATGGCTTCATGGCTTCATGTCCGTGAGTGCCTCGGAGCCGGAGAACAGCCCAGCCTCTGAATGTGTTGGCACAGTTGAAATGTGCCTTGCCGAAGCCTGCCTCTGTCTTCAGAGCACAGCCGGCAGTTGGACGTGATGAAGGTGCGTAGGCTCGCTTCTTGGCAGCGGCTTCCCAATGCACTGAGACAGTGTAGAACCCGGACTACTGATGCCTCCACTTAAATCTTCCAAGGCGCAGCAGCGATTCGTGCGGCAGAGGCTTGGTATTCCTCAACATGTTGTGAACTTGCTTTGCATCCGAAAAGTCTGGACTGTCAAAGTACCAGCCTCAAGTGTCTCTCCGACAAGGTCGTGGTGTCTGAAGTTTGAATGCCTGCGATTGTCTTGCAAGCCGCCTATCAGCTTGCTAATGCGCGGTGGTGGTTTCCCTCCACTTGAAACCAGGAGGCTGGAGGCAATCTCCAACTTTTGACGTTGCTCCCGTGGAACCGATAAGGTCACCTAAGCACGCGCCGGCGCGGACTGCTGTTGCAGATTGAGTTTGTTCTCCATAGTGTTCAGCAATACAGCCTTCAGAAACACATACATGATGATGCGTCCGATTCCAGTTGTCTTGCAAACGTGAACTTGCCAAATCGGAACCCTTTCCGACCCAAGAAAAAAGCCAAAGGGCAGCCATGCCACGAAGAGTTGGGTACTTCTTGAGCAAGCTTTGGCGAACTGGCTTCACAATGTCCCCGACCTTCAAGGCGGGCAATGTCACCGGTGTCAAGTTAGGTCACTGGAAAAAAGCATGCTTGTGCAGTGCAAGCTTCACAACCGTGTCAGACGTGACTGCCATGCCATGGCTACCAACAAGCTGCGTTTGCACATCTGTTTCAGCATGTCAGCTCTCCGCAACCGCCTGGCGCTCCTTCTCCGCTTGCACGGTCCGGAAACCAGCCGCCTCCAATGCCTGAATTCGACGGCTAGTGGTGCCCTGTTTCTCTGGACAGCCCAAGTCCAAAGCAAGCGGTGCTGCGCCTGGGAACCATCAGCCAACGAGGACAGAAAGCGCAATCCTGAAGCCGCCCGCTTCACAAGACAAAGGCGAGGTTCAGGTTTACACAGGCGGCCTGCAAACATGGGCCACCTCACTGCTGCATTGAAATTTCGTCAACCAAGAAGCTCGAAAAGGTGGCCACTTCTGCGAGCAGTTGGGAAGCCTGGCAGATGTATCCGTCGACGTGGAGAACGGAGATCCACATGCTAATACACACATACAGTCATACACACGGTGATCAGCAGCACCTCGGCATCAGGCAATTGGGAAGATGCGATTGCATCCTGAGTCTTGGCTGAGTTTTGTAATCTCTGCAAAATACCGCGGCTCACTTGGCAAGAGGCCAAACCTATCTCACCATGGGAGAAGAGGTTGCCAAGCAGCACCTGCCCACAGTGGCGAGGCTGTACAGGGCCCAGATTGCAGACTTGGCTGCCTGCTCCGGTGCCAGTTGAGTACTTCCCAATTCCAAAGCCGGTCCGAAGTACACGTTTCCGCCTTACCGCGGGGCATCCTGCAATGTCTTGGACTGCGTTTGCATCGCTGCGACAGGAGGGTCCAGGCTACAACTTCCTGAGAAGCAGGCTCACGTGTGCGAGGCCTGAATGGCAAAAGCAAACAGCATCACACGACGGACACCTACTGAACCATGCTCTCATATTTGACCATTTAAGACGTGAGGTCGTTGCCAACGCAGGAGTGCGATGATGAGGCGCGCGTCAGCCAATTCGCAAGAACGATCAGCCTTGGTACCATCTGCGAGGAATCGATGCTGTAAGTTATGGGAGAGAAGGGCGAGGCTGCCGAGGCTCTACCGCTGGAATCTGATTCGGCCAGCAGTTAAGTGCCACATGTTTTTCTTCGCCCGCAGCCCCATTGCTGAGTTGCCAAGGAGCAAGGAATCGGTGCCGAGGCCCAGTGCCGACTCAAAGGCTGCCCTGGCATCATTCAGCATCACCCAGGGCCTTGAGAAGATGCGGAAACTATTAAGGAATCCAAGGAGAAAAACGAGATGTGGAAAGGACTGAAGGCGGTAAACAAGTTGTTCTTGGTAAGCCCTGCGCTTGCGGAAGAACTGTGGCAGCAGACCCAGCTGATCCGCCAAGGATGGTATCTCGGCCCTCCTTTCTCGACCAAAGCAATCAAAACCTACTTGGAGGGGTTCCCAAAATTAGGGATAATTTTTTGGGGGTCCCTGTAATAAGGATTAGTCTACAGTGGGGTCCCCCTATTTGGGGAATTACCACTTGAAAACTGGAAGGCACCAAAACCCAAACCATCCTAAGCCCTGAAGTGAACCCTATCCGGACCCGGGATGTCTTACCCCCTTTATAACATATATCCAGAATATGGGATGTATTATTGGGGTTATATAGGGATAACGGAAAAGAACATGGAAACTACTATGTTACAATAGGGTATATATTGGGGTTATAGTCCCCCTTAAGTAGATAGAATATGGGGTATGTGGAATATACCCAAAGCCGCATTCTATCTACTTGACGGGGATTACAACCCCCCCAAAAATTCAGAGTCCAGCCAAACCCTGGAAAGTATGCCCGTCCCTGGTGTTGTGGAGCGGTTTGGAAGCCGCCAAATTCCATGGCCAAGGCGCATGGCGTTTCACAGCTGGCAGGCTGCAAGGTGGCTGTAGCCCTAGATATACGCATGAAACCTGTATGTAATGCTTTTTTGAGAGACCCCGTGTTTTAAGAGCCCGCTTCTTAGCCGGCTCAACATAGGGATTAAGCCATAGCTGGGCTTCACGATGGTTTGAGATTAGTTTTGGCTTGGGGGTTGGAGGAGGTTGTTTGACCATGTTCGGTTCGCTGCGCACCTTCCTGTACTTGAAAGAAGTAATGACATCTGAATCTAAACCTCAGTCTCGAGACCAAACAAGAAACTTGCGAAACGAATGAAAAACATGGTCAGAGTCAGTCCCTTCTGGCCTATGACGGGGCACTTCAAGGCACGAATGGCTGAGGTCCGTTCCCAGTGCTCTGCGGTAAACGTCATACCTGGCAGTATTTTCTGTGATGCACAGACCGGCTGAAGAGCTTCAAAATAATCCGAATCCCATGCTGGGGCAACTGGGACTCTGATGCCACGAAGATGTAGACGCGGTAGTGTGGAACACCCTGCCTGTACATAGACTCAAAGGCACAGGTGCTACCAACAACGAGCCCAGCCCTGGCACCTCTGCAGCACGGCTAGAGTCTTGCTCTGAATCAAATTCCTGGCAGCAGGTTGGCATCTCCACCACTACATGGGCAAATGTGATACATACAATGCACTGAGCCGCGCGACTCTCTCTTGTAGCTCGGAATCGCTACATAAAAGTTACCGTCGGCTGGCGGCCGAGGAACCTGCACCATTGCAAGGCTTCACTTTGCCACTACCCGAAATTGCGGATACAAGAAACATGGAAAGTCAAAGATGAGCTGCCCGGAGCTGGACTCCTACACCCTCCCAGCCTTTGCCTGACAAGGCATTGTTCACCGCCAACGGCATACATCTACGCATCTGCGCTGCAGGCTGGTAACGCGCGTGGGCGTTGCCATTTGTTATGTTTGTGACGACGCTGACTTCAGGAACTAAGCCACTAAGGCAGCACTCCGACAACACCGCAAGTACATGTCATGACCATCTTCAAGTTGGCTGACGAGGTCGAGACATCCTATCCTAGTGCTTACGGATGAAGGCGGATCTAGGCTCTTGAAGCTTCTTCCTCTATCTGCTCGCTGAGCCGGGAAGCTGCGCTTGGTGTTTTCCAACTGGAGACAGAACTTGCCTCCGAACAGCCTCAGAACACCTATTGCAAGTGCACGTGCGCACGCTTCCGGCTCATCCCACCTTGCCATGAGCCGGCTTGACAAGTTGACCACCTCAACTTCACACTGGCAGTGTGCAGATATGCTGCAGACAATCCCAGACACCTGAACAGAGAAAGGGCTGGGTAACCTGCATTGATGTGATGGCCTTCAGGGCCAGGTGGACCTTCTACACATCGAAGCCAGTCGAGGTCCTCGGCTTACATGGTTTTATATTGAAGTTTCACAGCGTCGCAGGATCCTAGCTTATCGCATCTGATGCCAACAGATGCCAAGCGACTCCAACTTCGTTCCCTGTGAGAATCAGCCTGCGTCGGGTGTCTGCTGCTTTCGTGCCATGTAACTGGAGGACGGCGCGGGAAGCTATGCTGCGTCAGAAGGTGAGGTCAGGGCGGATCCACGTGCTCCAGCAAAGAAGCCGATAGAATCAAAGTCTCCTGTGTCACATACTTTTCCAACATAATCCGTTTCTGGTTGTTCTGTGCAGGGCAGCCATGGCTGAAGCTAAGCCTCCTCCGTCCGGCACGACAGTTCGAACAGGGAAGGGCCTTCGCGTTTTGCTTTCTCGTAGGAGACTGCCGTGCCTAAGTCTGAGTCTGGGCGCCGTGCGGAAGATGAGCACTGTGTTTGATCCAGCAGCTATCTGTACAGAGTCCTCGCACATGTTGGGTTCCAACTGCAGATCTGCAACTACCACATGATGGCGCAGGCACCAGATTTAAGGTGTTCTGTCGCGCACCCCCCGACTGCTTCCCCGAAGACATGTAGCGCCCGCGCAGATCTCCGCGCGAAGGCCTACTCTGCCGTGTGCCCTGGCCCGTGATACACAGGTTCTTGGTGAGACATATTGCCCCACACAAACAATCACATACGCCCTCATTCGGCAGGTGCGAGCTTTGTGCAAGGGCCTAAATCTTGAACTCTGACGTTCACATCTCTACACAGTGCTACAACAACCACACAAGAAGCTCTCGATCGGCTCGTCACTGCCTGCCTGAGAACTACCAGCTCCTTGCCTCCAGCACCGCTGCTCAAACTGTCAGCGGCAAGGGTGGAGCTGAATTTTGCCACATTGTTCAGAGATCTATTGACTCGAGGATTCTGAAGGTTCGTCGGATCTGCTGCAATGCGGCTCTGGCTGCGAATTAGCATGAAAAGTGCATGGAAGTATGGCAAGGAACTCACCCTACCGCCTTTGCACACGAACCTTTGGCTCAACCTGGCACGAGCCAGTCATGAAGGTAGCAGATCAAATTGGACCTTGCAAACAAGAAGCCCGCAAAATTGCAATTACGTATCCGGAGTCTAGGGGCGCAGCCCAGCGAGACTTCCAATGTCACCAATGAGAAGCCAGTATGAAATCGCTATGAGGTTAAACTCCTGCAGGACACCAAATGCTTCCACTTCACTGCTCCCACACTGGAGTCGAACACAGAAGGTGCTCAAGGTTGCCGTCAGGTCCGTCCTGCGGTATGGCCGAATCCACATAGCGGCCTGTCACTTGCAGTGGAGGAATGTACAGGTTCAGCCTATACGGGAAGGCTCCGACTCATCAAGAATGCAGTCTGGTGTAATTGGGAGCCAGGCTGATTGTGCCGTAGATCAACCCGTCGCCAAGCATTACCTGATGCTCTTGCAGTTTTGAGAATTGCGAATTCCGTATGCGGTCTCCAACTTGGCAGATGTCTGCTCTCCAACAAAGTTGAGCTGCCAGAAAGGCTCCCAGGGGAGCAAGCACCTGAAGCCCAAAGCCATGACCAACACAAGCCAAATGGCCAGGACCAGGACACCAGGAGGCTGGCTGGCTGGAGCGACAGAAGCAGCAAAGCACCCAGCGTACTGAAGCCTCGCTTCGGAAGGACTCCCACGACACCAGTACCAGAAAATGTTGCTCTAATATGCTCCAACTGAGCAACAAGGAAGCCACCTACGTAGATTGCGGGATGTCGAGGAAGGACTCGGTAGCTGAGCCATCGTCCACATAGACCTGCCCAGCTTGCGTGGGAAGCTTCTGAGTTGCTTGTTGGCAAATGGTCTTAACATCGGAACTGAACATGTCTCCGAGTCTCCGATCACCAAGCATGCCTCCTAGCATGTTCGCTGTGTTATAGACCGCAAAAAACCTGACAGCGTAGAGTTGTGTACAGGCCAGACCCTGACAGCAAAATCTTTCGATACGCTGAGGCCGCATACGTCTTTGTCGCTAGGACAAAGGTTTCAGTCACATAGACCACTTCCTTTCAAAAGTTGGATTCACTGCAGATCTTCAGTGGTATCCACCACTGCGGGTCCTGGTCGTACATGTATAATGACAAGCCAGGGGAGAAGCCAGCAAGCGTGAAGGTATCAACCTTCGCTGTCATTTTGCCAAGAGGCTCCTTCTGCTACCCGGGGCCCTGAGGTCGAGACTGCAAAGGCAAGTGGGTAGTGCCAAACGCGTGGCAACCACTGCCTGTAGCCATCTTGCCGTAGCATTTCTCCCCCAGGAAACTAAAAGGTGTGCCATAGCTTGTGGGGGACCAGGCTACAGCAGCCAAGAACGCCAACTACTTGTGAAAGCACAGCAGAGGCTTCAAGGCAGTGCCAGACTGCCAGACGTAGAATGACACACTAGCGTCTTGGGAAGTCATAGTTTGAGATAGGAAGGCATGTCAATGTGAACGTGTTCAAGGGCCACCGCTGCAGCCGGCACCGATGAGAGTAAGGCCTGCAACCTTTGCAGTCCGCCAGCAGCTCGTGTGCTCCACACTCGCCCCCTGTGTGCAATCAGCATCCACCCCAAAAACAACAATTGAAGCAAGCTCTCTCTGTAGATTCTTCAGAGCGGCGCTCGGCTTCGCACGTCACTACATATTCTAAAGCTCTCCTACCCATGAATCTGGCAATCAAGACTACATTGAGACTGCCTGACGGATGTGGACACTGTGGGATTCGCAAAGCGAAGACCAGCCTCAGAAGTCTCACCGTCTGCTCTCAGAAGCTACTAGGTCACACTACCCTTCTGTCCTTCCATGAGGCGGACTCCATTGCATCTGAAAGAACAACTACAGCAGGTCAGGTACATGCGCAGAATGCCGTATCACTTGGCACTGTGCATTCCAGCGAAGTTCAAAGCTGCCACAGCTGCAAAAACAGCCGTGACCGAGACCTGGTCTTGCAAAGAAGCCAGCGAAAGCTTGGAACAAGAAATTCATGTATGCCCTGCCTGGCAACGAATTCCAAATGATGAGGTAACCTCTATATACCCCCAGATTCATTCCATTTCATGTTCCATGTTCTTTTCCATTTGATTCTCCATTACTGACTTACACCCGACCCGGCGAAACGGAAGCTGAGTGCGGAGCCTGGAGAGGCGGCCCCATGAGGCAAAATCCCCCAACGAGAATACTGTTGATGCCTAGTGGGATGCCTCAGTGCGACTCTCATAGCCTGCATCCTACAACATCCTGCGCCACGAGGTGCCGGCCCAAAATTGCTATGCTCTTCGTGCGGCTGCCAAGTGGGGTAAGACAAGTCAGCAAGTTAGACTCGAAGGATCCCATTGCCTGCAATCGCAGGTGAAGGGCCAGTCAGCTTCGCAGAACGCACAGCGCTTCTGCTTCCAAGGAGCCGCTCCGCCAAGCCCATAGGCAAAAACCACCTTGGCTCACATCGGCGCGCATCCGCTTACGTCAGCGCGAATCAACGCAGCATTCTGCAGCTGCTCTGGGCCATCTGCCCAGCGGAGGCTATAGCATTCCAAAGTGAGGATCACAAATGCCATGACTAACCTTGGCAACAGTCTGCATGCCCAGCTTTCCAACTGCAACCCAGCAAGTCCTGACAAGATTATTCCTGGTCCCAGCGTCATGGAGAGGGTCATGAAACCCAAAGCAACCTGACCCAAGCTGGAGACTGCAGCCGCAGCAATCAGCGCATATGATTCTTCCGAAGGACCAGCACCCGCACTCGAGGGTGTAGCTTGGAGAAAACTACCTGGCAAGACTGGGTTGCTTTTAAGGAATTTAAATTAAGTTACTATATTGGGGAAACCCTATTTAATTATTATATGAATACCCATTATGGTAACTTAATTTAAGTTCCTTAACTAAGCAACCCAGAAGACGCCCTGCTATGTGTGGCCTTCTGCTGTGCTATTGCTACGCATGCTACGCACCGTGCCTTGTGGCCAATCCGAAAGATCATGCCAAAGAGATATAGGCATGACCTCATAAGATTGTCGTTTCAAGCTTCTTTTCCATTATCCCTTTATACACCCAATAATATGCCCCATATTCTATCTACTTACGGGGGAATCGGGTTCTTCCGAAGCTCTGCTGTCCATCGGCTCCTGGCCACTGATCTCTGAGTTGGCCACACTGCTGCACCAAAGCTGTGCGAAGCATCCGAGCTGTCATCTGCTATGCGGAAGCGTGCCTGTCCAGTGTAACTCCGTGTTTGCTGAGTTTAGGGATTAGGGTTTGCGGATTAGGGTTTGTAGGTTGCACAACAAGCTTTGACCCGCCTTCACTTCATGCTGTAAGCCGAAGAGGGCTGCATAGCCCGAGAAGCAGGGCAGCACCACTAGGATAGCTTCCCAGTGCACCTTAGAACTCTCCCAGATACTCACAAAGCGTTCGATGGCAAAGCGGCTCAGCCCAAGACGAAGCCCTCTCTGTGGTTCCCCGCCTGGCGCTCTTTCCAGAAACAAATGCTACACTGCACTATTCCACATCATTCTTTGGGCAAGCCGCTATGCAAGACTATGTAAACTGCAGCATCGCATACTCTACAGTACTATACTCTAGTATAACATACTAGGCTACGCTAGACTCTTCCGGAATACCGAAACCCTAAAACCTATAGTCCTCCTTGAGTAGATAGAATATGGCTTTGGGTATATTATAATGGGATCCCCATATACCCTATATTCGGTCTACTTAAGGGGGACTATAAACCCGAACTGGGAGGAAGCCTGCAGTAGCCGCTCCTGCAGGCTGCAGGGCAGTGCCTGGTCAGCTACACTTGGAGAGATTGAAAAATTGTATGTGGGGGAATGGAAAACAAAATGGAAACTACTACTATATATTGGGGTTATATAGGGATTATGGAAAAGAAAATCGAAACTACTATTTAGGGTTCAGGGTTTCCCAAAATTAGTGGTACCCTTTTGCCGGTCTCAATAATAAAGATTATAGTACTTTGGGGTCTGTATCGGGTTTCCTTTATTTTGGGGGGTATAGGGTTTCAGGCTGGGAGACTCGGGCTATAGCCTTTAGGGTTTAGAGTGTAGAGAAGACGAAAATAGAGTAGAGGAGGGTAGACTAGTATAGTTTTCGTAAACAGTATTACGTCGTAGTATAGTGCAGCTTGCTCCACTGCTACGAACTTTCCTGTTTAACTCTCAAAACCCTAAACCCTAAAACCCCTATACTCTAAAACCCTAAACCCCAAAACTCTAAACCCTAAAACCCTGAAACTCTAAAACCACTAAACCCTAAAACCCGCGCACCCCTAAACCCGTAAACCTCTAAAATCCCTAAAACCCGAAACCTCTGAGGACGAGCCTCGGCGTGGCCTGCAAAAGGCGACGGACCTCATAGAGGTTAGCATACTATAACAGAATGTAAGATTAGATACTATAATATACTATACTATAATATACTACAATATACCATANNGTTGAGGGTTTAGGATTTAAGCTTTTTATAGTGTATATATAGCATAAGATACCATGATATACTACACTATAGGGTTTTGGTTGAGCGATTAGGATTTAGGGTGTTTATAGTATATATGGTAAAAGATACTACCATATACTATACGTACTATATAGTTTAGGACTTAAGGTCTTTAGTATATGTGGTCTGAGATACTGTAATATGCTATACTATACGGTTTGGGTTGAGGGTTTAGGATTT